TGCACTAAATCCAGTGGATTTTTAGATCTAAAACCGGTTTTGGGATAAGATTTTTCAGTTAGTTTCGCTTTTACACAAGTAGAACATCCCACACTATGAGTGCATTTGCCAAGTTTAATGCCATCTGCCAAATAATTTTTCTCAAATGTTTTTAAGGCATCTATATTTCTGTGGCCTAATCTTTGATGCTATTTTAGTATACAGTTCGTATGAGAACATGAAACATCATAGCTAAGTATGCTTTCTCGTCAATTGAATTTACGGTCAATTTATATAAACCTTGCTGAGCGTTGCCGTCGGCTACGAGTATATTGTTACGCTTTATGTAACGCTTATTACTATCAAATGTAACAATGCAACCTTTATTCGTAACAGATTGAACAGAAAGTAAATTACTACCTAAACCTGGTACATACAATACATTTTCTAATTTTATTTGTGTAACCTGACCCTTTAAGTTTTGAACTTTAAAATAGCCTTCACCAATACCATAAGAATTTAATTTAGCACCATTGGCCACAGTTACTATTTGTTTATTAGAGTCATTTAACTGAGAGAAAAAATTCTTATCACTCGTCATATGAGTTGAGTTTCCTGAGTGGATAACTCATTCTTGTGTTTGCGTGTTTTCATGTTTATTTTCCACTTTTAGAACTTGATTAAACTGAATCTGTGAATTTTCAGTTTCAATAATTTTAAGATATTTATTTTCTTCAAGTTTTGTTATGTTTTCTACACTTTGTGTATTTGCTATTTGGCATGCATTACATTTATAATTTTGAGAATAATTTTTTACTTTACTGTTATTTACATCTGTTTTCGGGGAAGTTCTAGCGTTGCGTTTTAAATTAAAACAGTCATTTATCGTATGGTTATTTCTCTTACAATAAGTACAATATCGTGTAACATACTTTGATTTATTTTCACTTTTGCTTTTTAAAGCAACTGAATCATATTTTTGAACTTTCTTAGTTTCCACACGTCTACAATACTCATCTATTAGTTTGTTTTTAACATATTCTAGCGAAAATTCAGCTTCCGATTTACTTTCTATTGCAGTTATTAAGGAGTTGTATGAATTTGGTAAATAACATAGTAATATTGCTATTAAGTTATTTTCTTTAATTTCTTCACCTATACTACGCAGCTTTTCAGCCAATTCTAGTACTCCTTTGATATGTTCCTGCATTTTAGAACTTTCATTATATCTAATGGAATATAGTTTTCTAAGAAGAAATAACTTGTTTGTTAAATTTACATGTTCATGGACCCATTTTAACTTCTGCCAAACTTCTTTTGCAGATTTACTATGCAAAACATGGATAATTTGCGAATCCGAAATGTTTAGGAATATTAAAGCTTTAGCTTTACGATCATTCTTTAACCAAATATCAGTATCAGTTCCCGGTTTTTCTTTGAATACAACATCATCTAAACCTTCTTTTATTAGAAGTTGTTCTATTTTAAATTTCCACACTGAATAATTTTCATCTGTTAACTTCTCTACATAAACTGATTCTTTTAGAATAGACATAATTGTTCGTTACAATTATTCTTTTAAACTTTGTAACTAGTATTTTCAACAACGAGTTTTAATACTTTATGCCCCTGGAATCTTACAACATTTCAGTTTTTAGAAGCATTTCTACAAGGCAATTGCCCTATTCAGTCTCATAATCTTTTGTTGGTTTGTGCAGTAGCACTGAAGGCGTAGTGAGTAAGTTTCCTCAGGCGAAGTTTTCATTAAAGAATCATAAGTCAAAAAATTAACTACGAAATCTTTATTTAATAAAATAGGATAATTTTGCTTAACTTAAACATAACAAAAAAGTAATAATCTTCACAGGCATTAAAACACTGAATTATCGAAAAGAAGATAACTTACATAGAATCATCATCAGTCCTAAATATCACCAGGCTTACCTATTTAGGCAGTTAAAAAAAAGAAACAGGAAACATACTTTGACACCGTACCTGAAAAGAGAAAGTACTACTGAATTAGACCTTTGGCCGTGATACACTCCACGTAGCTAAGGTGAAAGTCAAATATACTGCATTGCTCATGAACTTTACTTTCTCTCGCCAATATATATCTTGGCGCACGTTCATTTCGTATGCCTTTCAAATTTCATTATGCAAAATACCTAAATTTATGCTAACAAGAAGCATGGTGTTAAATTTACATGTAAATCATTTTGAGCAACGTCATTTTTTAAATTCAGTTTGATTGATTCGAGCAATATTTAGATTAAAGTGGGAGGTTGTCTCTTTACAGTTAAGATTTTTACCAAAACATTCAAAAACAATATTTCTTTGGAGAAAATTTTGGAAAGCCTTGTTTAAGTAAGTAGTGCTAATATATTAATAAAATTTGTAAAGAAAAACAAGAAGGAGAACTTTTAAAATTAATGAATTTAAAAATTTATTTAAAAGTAAAATCCAGCATTATTGCTGCAGAGATAAAATTTAATTTAATAGAGAATATATAAATGAAAATGAAAATTTAATTTAATAGAGAATTTATGAATGAAAATTATCTCCTATGAAATGTGAAGTAAAATTTTGATAGAAAACTTTTATGAAAATTATTAAATGGAATTTGTAAGTAATTGAATTGTTAATTAAAATGCAAAACTAAAGAATAAAACAAGAGAATTATTGCTGGTTCCATACAAAGATCACGACTTATCAAGTGAATTTTTTTTTTTATTATTATTTATTACGTGCTTCACCCTTAGGCACTACTCAGAAAGGGAGGGATGCCCCGTGGAGGTCTTTTTAAGGGAAACTGGCTCGTATCCATGTTACGCATGGGGAAAACCGTGAAAACGCCCATGCAGCCAGCCCGTTCGCCAGTACTCGAACTACCAGTGTTCAGCAGCTTTTACCGCTCGGCCGCTGGTGGACCATCAAGTGAAATTGAAGCCTTTCCGTGCAACCATCAACAATTCATGAAAAGTTCATTTCGTCATTTGACATACCTGGCACATATTCCAATTTTAAATTTCTATTTTAATAGTCTGAATTTTAAAAGTTCAGATATGCTATTCCACAGTGGCAGACTGCAAGAAGAGCATGTGAGTTCATGCACATGTGTATGTCTGTGTAAAATATAAGGGAGAAATGCTGATCTTAAGTAGAAGGTACATACTTCATGTTGTTAAAAAATATTTCAGAATATAAATTTCAAGAACAATTTATTATTATTAAAATCTCATCTTGGATTGGCCTAAATTAAGTGTATTCTGTTATAAATAGTGGACATGTGTAATTATTCTAATAGAAAAATGAAGATTTATGTAGTAAGGATTGATTCACACATGAAGTAATGTGAAATTAGAGTTACCATGTTCTGAAGTAAAAAAAAATGCTCCTCTAAATCTTAAATAACATTTTACAAATAAAAATACACATAATGAGGGAAAGACGTTTAATTTCAAACAATTGAAACCTATTGAGTATGCTGTTCCTAAAATTTTATAACCTGATTATACATAGAATATGTAACAGTAAACTTCATTATGTAATCAGAATTCATTCATTAATGCTGTAATAAAGGGGAACTGTATTTAAAGGTAATATGCATATTTCTATATCAATCTAAATTACTTTGAAATGTCTGGATGTTTTAACACACTTGAATGGAATAATACACAACTGCCACAGTAAGATGATTCCTTAGTGTTCTCTCTACATTGGCATTCTAAGCAGGAATGGCAAAGAACTGTGTAATTTTTGGGAGTTTAGAATGACCGAGCCTAATTTTTATGAAATGGTACTAACTCAGTGGGTTTTTTTTTTCTCCTATTGCAATGTTAAATTGCATCTTTTTTTTTTTTTTTTTTTTTTTCCCCTCTCTCTCTTTCTTCTTGTGATTGATGATTCATTTTCTGTCCCAGAAGATTTTTCAGGTTTCATCCACTTGAGGGGAGGGAAACCTGAGATTCCACACATTTTTGTAACCTGTGCAGTTATGATACAGAGTTTTGGCACCATTTTAAAAATGTTTAATCTCTTGTTCCAGTACTCCTTCCTATCTCTGTTGCAGTAGATTTCTAACATCCATTGTTTGAAAGTGATGCATTTTTAAAAATACAAATCCAGTGGAGATTCACATTGGTTTTAAAAATTCTTCCAGACATTAATTAATTCCTTGAAAATGAGAACATAGCAAAGAAAATGAGGATGTGTGGTAAACCTACATGAATTAAATCTGAAACTTTCTTCATCTTTTTTTTTTTATTATTATTATTATTATTATTTTCTTTTTATTTCTGGAATCTGCTGTAAAATGTGAAATAAGTAATTAAGTGTAAAAGTTTAATGTCTAACTTAAATTAATTATCAGCTGTAATATTTTTTGTTAGAATATTTAATTAGCCATAGAAAGTTATGTTCAACAGATCCTATTTTTGAAAAAGATTTCTTTTATTTTATGCTGTATGCTCTCCCTCATAACTAGTACATAAGTCCCATTTAGATTTCATCTAGTTTTTCAAATTTTAAAAACATGATTTTCATTTGATAGGCCAACACTAATAATCTAAAAGAAAGACACCTTGTGTAATTAAAACTTCTGAAAAATTCATTCCAGTCATCTCACAGAAGATGGAAATTTTTTCTTTTCTTCTACCTTTGTGTACTCGTAACTTTCCATTTATTACAAAGAATGGCAATATATAATTTTGGATCAGAATTATTAATATTATTTATTATTTTATGATTAATAATATATAACATTATTAGTGCGTAACATATTTACTTTTATTAGTTAATCTTATAAGAGTAACATGAGTTTTAAATTAACTGAGCAATTTATCTTACTGTAAGAATAATTATTTTATTTATATCTTAAATGCTAATTGCTTATAATGAGTTTTACCAGTAAAAGACTTTTTGCTTTTTTTAATCTGTCCCCGCCCCTTCCCGCGTTTGGTTAGTTTACAGTTCATATTTTTGTGTTGTTCTGTATGGTGAAAAGCAAATTTTTATCTCTTCAGGCTCTTAAAAAGAAAACTGAAAGCTGATTTTGGAGAAGAGGATGAATTTCTTGTGCTTGAAAATCAGTGTTTTGAGTTTTCAGAGAAACGTTATTTGTATAGAATGTGCCCATTTGATAAAGTGGTACAAGTGACTAAAGTAAATCGAGAAGAAACTCTTATTGGGTGAGTAATTTAATCCACTGGTCTCTTGAAAAAAAATGGCATTTCTGTTACTTTTCATTGGTTTCAAGAATGCCATAGTGCTTGAAATGAATAACTTTCTCCATTGTGAATGGTTAGACAAAGAATATTCCAATTTAAAGAAGAAATCATTTTATGCATAGTTATTATTACTGTACGTTTCCATCATATACTTCCTAATAAAAAATCGTGGAAGTTCTATGACAAAAAAGGGCATATTAGTTTTAATTAATGAGTTTTGTGCGTAAAAAGTAATCTGTAAATGCATTTATTTATGTAAACATTGTATAATTTGAAAACGTGGCCTATAGCTTGCATTAGTTTTATTTAAATATCTGCTTTCTCTTTAAAATTCAAGCTGAGCATTTTAAAATGATCACAATTAATGTTTTTCAGCTGTACTATAAAAAAAGTTTTTATTAATCCAAACACTGAGTTCATGCATTTGATAAGTATCATTTTACATATACAGAAACATGTCTGAGCATAAAACAAGTTATTATTAAAAATTGATAAAATTTTGAAAAGGGAAGAATTATAAGCTAGGGAGAAGAGGATTTTCTATATTGTATGATTGGTGTATTTATTGTGAGAAATGCGAATACACTTGTGAGTATTTGGAGACAGTGGATAGAGTTCAGCACTTTAATAACAGAAATGTGGATAAGCTGGGGGTTGTATTGGTGTTAGGAGACGGAAAATGAATATGCATGGCAGTGATGGATCATGCCATACGATTATCACAATAAGAAAAGCAGTGACACATCATGGTTGTCATAGACAACTGCTGCAAAAATAAGTCAAGGTTGTGTTCCATTAAGTATGATTTCCTTTGACTCTACTATTGACATCTCTTCAGTGGTGCAAAAAGAAAAAATACTGGAGCACTAAATGCATGCAAATTATTCTTTCTGAGTTTTCTAACTAGGATATCTGTATTCATAAAGAGTAGTGTTTTTGTTTGCTGCTACTTTTGACGTGTTACATTCAGTAAGGTGTAGAAATCAGAATTTCCAAACTTTCAAAGAATCTTCCTGGAACTACACTTCAGTGAAATAGTGTTACTATCCATATTACAAGCGACATCTTAACATTTACTCTGTGATTAGCATATGCTAGCTCTTTTATGGATTGTGCAAGCATAGGATTTGTTTTCTATTAAGCATATGTAAGTTATGATTGAAGTAAGAATGATATGTTAGCACCTACAGTTAATATTATTGTGTTACTGATATGCAATGAGGCTACATGGAGTGATTTCCACTGATAGCCAAGTTTTATTGGCTGTTGCCATGCTATTACAGTTGTTAAAGATGGGCATACAGAATATTGAATTTAGCTCTTTTTTTTTTCCCTCAAATTTGTCATTTTAAGCCTTTCTAATAATTATATCTCTTAAGTTATAGTACTGTGTATGTTATAGCTTCCATTAAAATATATTGCAATTCATATCACTTTTAATGTTGCATTTTCAATGAGATACAGTGTATTTGTCATCTTTCTCTTGTGCTGTCTTTTTTTACTGCATTTTTTTTTTTTTTTTTTTTTTTTTTTTTTTTTTAAAGATTATACTTATACAGATAAGGTACTTATAGCTCTGTAAAATAAAACGTAAAAAATACCCTTATTTTTATTAAATTAAACTTTTTGGCTTTGATACACAATTAAAGCTATAAGTTTTTATTTATTCATCTGAAAGCTATATATAGATTACAGACCTAATTTCAGCACTTTTTGTACTGCAGGTATCCCATGTAAATTAAACATATAAATAATTCAAAGTGAAATATATCTTTATTTAGCTGTTGCTAGTGAGAACAAATTAACTGCTGGCCTTTAAAAATATTTGTTGTAGGTGGCTGTCTGTGTTGTTGTTTGGAGCTGGCACTGATATTTTATACATAAAATGCTACACATTTAACACTGAGCATACATATGAACTTTCGACACTGAAAATTTTCCCAGTGCAAGGTAAAAAAATCTGTGAAGTTTGCCCCTTCTAGATGATATGAAAAGTTTCATCAAAAAATAATTTAAAAGAAAAATAATTTCATCGCTGATCTGTGCTAGCTAATCTTCAGTAAGAATGCATTCATTTCTTTCATGATATGTGCAGTTACAAAGCAAAGGTGCAATGGCCTTTGTAAAGATTATCCTAAATCTTGCAAAAGGTTTAAAGATCCCCCTTCCATTTGAAAGACAGAGAGACAGAATTTTTAAAATTGCAATAAAACAAATCAATAGGAATACAAAATTTCTATTCTTTAAAAGATGAATCGCCTTATAGTCCCAAGCTTATAAGAATCTATTCACTACTTCCTTATTTTTGCAAGACATTAAAATTAATTTAACAGCTTCTTAAAGTAGAGATACGAGGCTGTATTATCTATTCATAGTATTTAAGTTAATGGAAAAGTAAAAACCTGTGAATAAATTAGCCTTGGTCTTGATTTAATTGGCTTAGCGGGAAGAATAAGCAATTCAGAAAACTTAAGTTCTGTTTATCTGAATTCCAGGTAGTTGGAACTCTGTAGATATGAAGAGCATTCAAATACAGTGATTCAGCAATTCATTCTCAGCACCATTCTGAAAATGACTTTTTTTTTTTTTTTTTCCCTAAAAGCGTAAAAATAATCAGTATTCAAATCCCTTCTGTAGGAGGAGTAGCTCCATAGAGGGTCAAGATAATCTGTGATCGTGGCTGGTCATTTAAAAAAATGTTTCATTGTATTTTGATAATAAAGCAACTTTTGATGAAACTTATTTTTATTTACTAAATGGCTTTCAATGAATTTTTGAAATATAATGCAAAGCAAATGTTTGTAATTTCTTATATATTCTCTGCTTGTATGATGGTTCAAGTTTAAATGCATACCATGAATCCTCTCTGAGATGTTTATCTGTTGTTTAATATAATTTGTTCTTCTGTGATTATAGTCACTGTGATTACCAAAGATGGTGATTATCAGTTCATGTGGTGGCTTTATTCTACTCAAGGCTTATGGGATTAATGAAAAGGAAATGTAATATATGCGTTTATTATTAATAATAAAAATTAACTGCAAAGATAAGTAGTGTGCATTGTAGCAATAAAGCAAAACTCAGAAACAAAGGTTATCTAAAGTTTATTAAAATATTATAAGTGAATGAAAAACAAATTTTATTGGAAAAAGAAAAACTTAATGACTCAGCTTTGTTTAGTAATATTAAGAATATTTGCAGGTTATTAGAATGTTCATCCAGCTTATTTGATTTTGTCTTATTGGTAATCACTTTCCTTTCTAATATAGTCTGACCTTCATGAGGCAAATAAGTAATTTTATTATTTACCTCAGGAAATCATTGTGCTTATTGGCTATTGGACAATTTCAAATTACCAACCCAGTCTTAATGACTATAGAAATCTAGCTGTATACCTTTTGTTATTTTCAGTTGAGAAGCAAAATCATATTTTGACAAAATAAAATTTGTAGATATTGTTATTGTCCAAGTTAATTCTTTTAATTTGTTTATTCTTCCAACTGTAAAATTTGTTTTGATTCTTTAAAATAGAGATATTGGCAGGCATTTCAAAAATATCTTTCTCTTGACTGATTTTCAGTGTAGCTAGAAATAATCATGAGTGTTTGCAGTAACATGAAAAACAAAAAGATTTATTCTTAACAGTACAGAACAGTACGGATTAACAGAAAGATTTATTTGTACTACTTTTATATTGCTTTGTGGTATGTTATGTCTTAAGCAAACAGAAAATTAATCTGATCCATTTAGGAACATGATTAAGCATTTAGAAAGTACTGTAATATAACAAGCCTCTTTGATAAAATTAATGGTTCAGACGTGATTACCCACTGTTTTCCATAAAAACATTTTACTTAATAACAAAATATAAATTTTGAAAGTCTCAGTCTAGTTAGAGTGTGACAATTTTAGAAAATAATTTATCTATTAATTCTGATTCCCCCACCCCCAAATACTATTCATTTTTTTAGATAGTTATCCGTGGAAGGTGTTTGAAATTAATAGATTCACTATTACATATGCATGCCAGATGTTATTAGTTTGTTGTTATTTATTATTATTTATGTTATTTATTAACTATATTTCTAATATACATAAAGGAGGCACATAAAAAGTTTTTGAAGTCTATGTACTGTGAATATATTTATTTTATCACAAAAACATTTTAATCAAAGTCATAAAAATCTTCCTTTAAATTTTACACCTATGGATATCTATGAGGTTTAAATGATAATTTTTCATTAGTACCTTAACAGAAGCTTGAAGGCTTCTGACCATTGCTCTAAATCATAACTTGATATAGTGTTCATGCTGAAGATTTTATTTATAAAAATGGCTTGCTTTTAAAAGTTAAAACTTTAAAAACCAAAAAAAATTTTTTTTCATAAAAATATTTTAATAATATTAAACATTTAAGGAGTTTATTTTCTTATATAAACGTAATTCTTTTCAGTTTATGGGACAAATGGAGTGGACCAGAAAATGATCATTATCAACAGATGAAATACTCTCGGGGAGCATCCTGTTGGAATGGACCGAACCGTTCTGTTGATGTATGTACTTTAAAGCAAATTAAAATTTGTTTTAGCCAGTTATTGTTATAAATTCACACATTTTTGTAGAATTCTGTTAAGTATTATAAAATTTTAATCTTTTGAAATTTATTATACTCAAAGGTTTTCTTTCACATATATTTTTTTTAATTGGACTCATCTTTGAATTTAATATTTTATGAAAGTAATTTAAAATGCAGAAAATGTGGCAGTATTGTTTATCATTGTGTTTATTGGCTATTGGACTGTTTCAAAAATGATTATAGAAATCTAGCTGTATACCTTGAATGAATTTTGTTATTTTCAGTGGAGGAGCAAAATCATATTTTGACAAAATAAAATTTGCAGACACTGTTATATCGTAGAAATTGATAGATAACAAATAGAAAAAAAATCTAGAAGCAGCATTTCATTTGCAAATATTTCCACTGCATGAGACCTTTGCTGCAGATGAGATATCTTGTCTTCCGAGTATGTTTGCTGAATTCTAACGACAAAATAACTCATCCTGTACAGGAGATTTTTCGGTATTATTACAGCATATCCAGAAAGTTATAGGTTTTCAATGCATCGCAGTCCATATCATTTTGTGTTTGTAAAGTTTCTACAGAAAGTCACAAACAGCACAAATTTTAGAGCTTTGGCAAAATTTTCATACCTATGCAGTTCCCCCCTCTCTTCTTGCATTTCTTATGCATTATACATACTTGTTACATTTTTGAAAGAAAATGAGGTAAATAAAGGACTTCTTTCAATTGATCAGGTAGTGAAACCTTTCTCTCCCCCCGCCCTTTTTTTAAGGAAGTTGCTTGTTGATGATGACAGCTCTGGGGAAGGCAGTTGTGGACTTGACGTCCTGTTTCTGATTCGCACAGTGGAGATAAAAGTTGTGATGACAAAGAAAGTGCAGAAGGAGATGAAGCATATATAGATTCATTTCATTGTGCTGCAGGTTTGAACACTGATGTGATAAAATAATAGAGAATGTTTTGTTAGATAATGAGGGGAGACTAGTGATTCTCAAGTGGCTTCAATATCAAATTGTAAATGGTGAATTACATGACAATTGGTGATATTGTTTTCCAGGGAAGCAGGGACATATAATGTGCATCCTGAGTGTGCAGACTACTCGGCTTTCTTACAATCAATAGAATTTTTTGGTGTGTTTGCCACTAAGGAGGTTGTGCAAATCATTGTATCAAAAACCAACAGGTATTTAAAAAGCATAGTAATGGTTTTGATTGAAAAACTTCTAAACAAAGGACACATGCTTTAGACAATTAGTACACTATAAGTTTCACAGTGTTAATGATTATAGAAATAAATAACAAATAATAAACCTATGACAAATAAGCTGCTTGAAAACAAAACAGTTTTATAGGGAACACTGTGATCAAACAACCTAAAGAAATTGTGAAGGCAGGGCTAAAACAAGGTGGGACAGTCCCTTAGAGAAAGCATCACAGATTTATGATGAAATTGAAAGATAAAATGAGGTGTTCTTGTGTATACAATTAAGAATTTGTAGTAGAAAGAAGACCTCGGTTGAAGGGGATCGACAAAGCAATCCGTAGGCAGGTTCAATTGTGTTCTAGATTATAACAAACAGATGTGCGAGATTGATGGAATTGATCAGCTGTTTTCCATTGTGCTCACCATTGTGGAAGTCATTAAAATGGTGTGTAAAGATTGTGCTTCAGCATTTGGATATGACAAACCCAATGTTTTGTATGCCAAGTTTAGTGAAAGGCCGCTTCAAATCTGGTTTCAAGGAGAAATAATTCATTCACTACTGGATTCTAGTGAGTGTGGGGATACACCAGTTCCTGGAAATTATTTCAAACACCATAGGTCTTCAGATTTGTGAACAGAAGGCCATCATTATATAAATACAATGCCCATAACACTAACTAAAGCTATGTCAACAAGGAATGCGTCATCTATGCAAAAATGCACATCAAAGCGTGCATTATGTGTAGTGTCATGATTTGAAAAAGTCAAAAATATCATAGATTCCATAAAATCTAATGTTATACAAGATTTACTATTTTCAGTTTAATACTATTTTTTTACATGTTTATGCACAAATGTACAAATTTTATGTACAAACTTAATATTAAATCATTATAAGGATTTATTGGGAGTATTATTGATTACAATTGATCGTTATTTTTTAACATAAACAAGTTTGAAGAGCATATTTAAGTTTAGCACTTGGGAACTCTTAGTACAGGATGTAGTGACAAAAGGCACTATTGCAGTGAGGAATGTGTTAATTTATCATTCAGGTGCTTTCTTGGAGTTCTGCTGTTTAAGAAAGTATAAAATCCTTTATCTTTCAATTTTAATCAATCTGTTATTGATTAACATATCAAGCAATTTAAAAGAAGCACATTTCTTAATAATTTAAATTTTATTTTCTTTTTAAATACTGTATGTAATTGATACAAACTGAAATGCATTTGATATATAAATATCTAACTGATAATTTTCGTGGCGCGCAATGAACTGGAAAATGATGTGTCAGCACTATCATCATCTTCAGGGCAGATGTTTTTATTTTATTCGGCTTATAATTCCTTACTAAATGTAGTATTTCATCTCGATGTACTCCGTCTTTGATATGATTTAAATCAAATTCCTCATCATTATAATTCACCTCCGATAGTGAAGAAAGTAACACAGATGTTATTGAAAACGAAAAAATTTCGATTGACAAATTAGTTGGTATTCTCGACACAGCAATTATAGGACTTGAACAGCGGAACTTTGTAACTGAACAAGAAATTATATCTGTTTATAGAATTAAAAAGAAAGTATAGCACATAAAACAAAGCAATTTAAAACACTTACATTGAAAGAAATGTTTAATAAAGGAAACAAAAAAATTTTTATTATTATTATTATTGTGTAGGGGGGTGTAAATTTTGATACCCTTTAGATCATAATTTCTCTTTATTTCAAAAATTACGGTTTCATATTTTTAATTGTATAATTTCTGCATGCCATCTTACCAGATTTAAATTGATGATCTATAATCCAGAAAAACCCCTAATCCAGGATCGCCGAAGTCCCGACGAGTCCGGATTAAAGACTTTGTACTGTATAATGCTGATTTTTGTTGTTTGACTTCTGAATTAAATTTATTGCTTAAAATCCGGAAAATTCCAAAGTTCTGACAAGTCTGGACCTCAGGCTTTGTGCTTTATATTATCCCAGTAATATAAATTATTTTTCTAAAAACCAGAAATATGCTATTTGCTTTTTTTTTAAATTTTTGTATATTTGCTAAATTTCCAAATAAAGAAATGACTATAAGTCATATAAAAAATTTTTAACATAAATTTTTTTAATGTATCATGTTACATAATACTAGCACTTGTACATTCATTATATGTATGTATATTTCCAGGTGATTATAAAATGTGGTACAGAAAATAAAATAACATCTGTTGTTGAATCCTCGCCATGTACTTATCTCTTTGAGTTTACCACACCAGCCTTATGTAAAGAACTACCTGAAGACATACGAGAGATTTTAAAAAATGACGCAGCATTTATTTGAAGTGTAATTTTTTGAAATGCTTTCACAACATGTGATTTGTTATAAAAATTATTTATAAGCATGCATAATTGGTTTGAATATTTCTAGAATCCAGTAACAGTGCTGTCTACCTCATGTACTGAATTATAATGTGAATTTACTCTTATAAGTTTTTAATATTTGTCGACTAATGCAAATGGTGTTAATGGTTAAGTTTATGAAGAGTTTAATGTCTTTTCTGAAGTTCCATGCAGAGGTTTTGAAGCTTTATGAATTCTGCTTTTTATTATTTGTGTAAAGGTAGCTTACCAAGGTCTTCCATATGGTTGTATAAAATATCTTTTGCCGGGATTACAAAATTATAGCTTTGGTATTTGAAATATTCCCATTTGTGTGCTGCTGAAAGATTGTGACAAACTCTAAGCAGATTAGCCGAAATTAAGTTCATCTCAATTTTGAAAATGAAAGAAGGTCAATTTATACTATCCACAGCTATGCTAAGAGTATATATTGCACTTTACGCAAATTAAATCTGTAACAAGGTTTAAAATGTGTTATCTATACATCTTGCATTATATGCTTATATGATTGAATTATTACTTTTTTATTTAAGTGATCATTTTTTAATGTTTATTATTTTTACTGATCAGAATTTAATTATAATTGAGCATTTTGAAGATAAACATTAAAAAATGTAATATTACTCTTGAAATACTTTATCATATATTTGTTCAGTTTTAATGTAATGTATATCTAATATATTTAAAATAGCTTTTAAATCATTATGGGCCACTGCAATGTCAAGAATTGTTACTCATTCCATTCATTTGTTAGTTTGGATGTATTATCATTATTTATGATATTCTTAGTAATGCCAATGAGGAGAATGCATGAAATTAAACTTATAATATGAATGAATTAATAGTGCATTCAAAACAGTGTCCCATTACAAAGGTGCTCGCACTTTTACTCAAGTCAGATACCATTCAGAAAGCCAAAATCTTCATGAGGGTACTTCATAAAAATGTGGATGTCCTTTATACAAGTCTCTGCTATACAAGGAAGTTTTAATTTGATACTCAATATACAAAACTGGTGAAAATTTGACTAGCATAAAAGTTCCCATATTTTTATGAAGTATGCTTTCATAAATTAGAAACTAATCTTCATAACAGTATGAACACTTTTAAGATCTCCTTATGTGGTCTCTATCTTTTAACTGTAAAGTCTTAAGACTTGCATAAGTGCCAGCACTGGGTATGGTGAGGTATTTTATAAAGGTGTACCATCAGAACTTTCGGGAAGAATATATACAGCAATACATTTTGGAAATACAAGTAGAATAAAATAGTGTTGAAATTTTTCAAGGCCAGAAAATTAGCAACTTCTAAAGTGAAAGGACATATTAAGAAGGAAAGCTCATTAAAAACAATGAGATAGTTAAGAAATAACTTAAAGCAAAAGTATCAACTGCTTGTAAATTTGAACTGTGATATAGAACTAATTTGTTATATGAGTCTATATTTTCAGTTTTGATAGAATGAGCTTACTGCAGAAGAAGTCTACTTAATGTAAAACATAAAAACAAATATTGGTAAAACTTTACCACAATGGCTATAATTTTCGGGGTTTAATCGGAAGATGTTTGAAAATTATAGTAGACATAAGTACTATATTTTGCATGGTTTTTATTGACAAATTAATTTATATAATTAATAAATTGCTGACTGATTATATTATTTAAAAAACAATAATATATTCTGAAATTTTTGTTTTCCAGTAATGTAAACAAAGAATGTTCACATTATCAATATACTTTGATAGCTGAAATTAGTCAGCAAGAGGTAGATCAGTAAATTGAAACTTAAATTAATTTAAAAATAAATCAAAACAGAATTTTTGTTTACATATCTTTAAAACTTACTAAAAATAACTAAAAAATAACTTACTAAATATAATTTAAACTTTAAAACTAACAAGTAAAATTTCATGAAAATAAAAATTAATTGGTGCTGATTTGTGAATGTACTTAATGAAATTTCTTATGTGAATTCCACAATTATATGTAAAACAACATCGTGCTTTTGTAGTATGTCATTTTGTAAAGGTTAAGTCTAAATCATAATAACATCTCTATTTACCTTTTAACATATAAAAATATGGTTTATCATTTTTCTGATTTTTTTATTATCCGTCATTAATACTGTGCTAAAGTATTATCTCTGCTAATTACCTTTCTTCATATTAATTCCTTTACTTTTACATAAAAAAAGGCCTAACTTAGTATAAATAAAATGTTTTTAGGCAAGGAACTCATAAACTGATAGATGTTTTATAAATGTAACATCTCATCACCTATTTCTGTCATACCATTTCTGCACTTAATAACACTAGTTTATTAATGTACCATATAAATGATACATAATATTTATACATTTACTTAAAAAATCAAAATTTTTTAACAATCTTTTTTTTATGTTAATGAAAATGTTCCTTTCCCCCTTCCTCTCTTTTCTTAAATTAGTTGCCTTTGCTGCAAGCAGTACATCCATAGTTACTAAATATTTAACATGCGAGTGTAATATTTCAATGCATTGCAACAGACATTTACAATACACTCATTCTTGCTGCTTAAATGTAGGAAGCAAGCCTAGTTTAACAAAATTAAACAATTTTTAAAAGATTGGATTGGATTGGATTATTTAATTATGGCAAAGCACACCAGGCCTATCTGCCTAAAGGGAGGGATGTCTTTGTAGAGGACTTTCTAAGGAAAACTGGCTCGTATACACGTTACACATGGGGAAAACCATGAAAACACCCATGCAGCCAACCCGTTCGCGGGATTCGTATCTCGGACCGAACTACCAGTGTTCAGCGTCTTTCCGCTCGATTGCCAATTTTTAAAAGAATATTTTGTTATGTGAACTTGTGTTATATTATAAAGTTACTACTGCAAAGAACAGGTCTAGACTGCAGATGATAATTACATAATTTTTATAATTATAAGAAGTATGACATTAAAATTATTCTTAATTGATACAAAACATTATATATTACATTTAATAATGAACAGTGATTTTTTCCACCTCTTCTTTGATATTAACTTCTATTAAATTAGAACACTTCCTGTCTGCCAAAACTAGTCTTGTCTTCTGATAGTGCCCACCAGCGGCCGAGCGGTAAAGTCGCTGAACACTGTAGTTCGGTCCGAGGTTTGAATCCCGCGAACGGGCTGGCTGCATGGGTGTTTTCGTGGTTTTCCCCATGTGTAACATGTATACGAGCCAGTTTCTCTTAGAAAGTCCTCCACGAAAGGCATCCCTCCTCTTAGGCAGATAGCCCTAGTGTGCTTTGCCATAATTAAATACACCACACCATACCACACCACACACCTTGTCTTCTGATATCTGTTTTGTGGCTTCTTGATTTTTATGGTCCCCCTTCCCCCCAAAACCACTTATTATTTTCTAGCAAATGTTTTAATTTTTGTTAAATGATCTTTCATCATTTTGCAGTGCTGCAGTAAATTATTTGCAAATTTACCTATAAAACTGTAGTGTCTTAGTGGAAGTCCTCCTTCTCCATTTTTATTCATTAGAATTATATGAAGATAAAGGGGAGTGAAAATAACTTCTATTTGGCATAATTTTTCTATGAGTTATTTAGATCAGTTACATGTAAAAACATTTCATTTGGATATTCATATAATTAATTTTGGTACATATTTTAAGTCTGTGCTTTTTTTGTGGTTTTTAATAGTACAGCTTGGTTTGAAATTTAAATTTTAACTATTATTAAATTTAATTTAAACATGTTTTTTAACTGTGTTAAAGACCCTGTAAGACTAAAGAACACATTCATTACCTTTAATGAAACATTTCTAAGAAATTTGCTTTTATAAGAATATGCTTTTATAGGTTAATTCTACATTTGGTAATTGAAGCTCTAGAGGACTGTAATTGCTTGCAGTGGCAGAAAATAGTTTTTGAATCCTTAATCTTATTTCTGATTGGTTTAACTGCCTGCAATATGCAGCATTTAAATCTGGGAATAAAAATTGTTGGAGCCAGTTAGTTCTGGTAGAATACATTTTTAGGAAAATGTGCCCATTATTGCAGCTTTCAGTAAGATTTTTTTTGTTAAAACCATGTTATAGGAATGCACTGTTATTTGAAGTTGTCTGTGTTTTATTTATATATCTTGTTGAAGATAAAAATATATTAGTATATTATATTTTAAATATAGTCTACAAATTTATGATGAAGCCAATACTTTACATATTTGTTACAGTAATTATTGATATAGTTAAATTTTAGCATACTGTTAATAACAAGTCTTAGACAATCACATAGAAATACTTCATTAATAACTATGTTTGATATGACATGTTAGCAATTAAAATATTTATCATGCATTTTTCATTAAGAGTTTATTTTGATAGAGAAACAATATTGAATCTTTGCTGTGGTGTAATATGCAATTAATACATAGCTTAGTATAATGTTAGAGTACAAACTTTTTATTGCTCTAAAGCATATTTAAAATGCATATTACATGTATGGGCGTCGTATTTAAAGTAATAGAAGTTAACAGTCTTAGAAGAAATTTAAAAAATAAGATCTCTTGAATTGTCAAATGCAAAGAACAGAACATTATCTCTTTGGAAATAAAGATGCTTGTGATGAGCTTTTAATTTTTCAGTTCAAATTATTTTATACTTAATTTATATGTTTAATTTTTCATCTTTTTTGACAACTTGTTATGTGCTTAAGTATTCTAAATAAAAATAGATTTTTTTCTTGAAATTTAGTGCTGTCTGTTAAACTAAAATCATGAAGTAACAAAACATTACATAGCTATGATACATTTTTGTATTAAAGCTGTGATCATTTAAATCTGTTAGAATTAATAGATCTGTTAGAATTTAGTCTTAGAATTAAATAAACTGATATAAGGTGTGAAACTTCACTAAACTGACGTTGACAATATTTCTTAGACAACAACTTTTTATTTTTTCTGTAGATTTAAATACACAATTTTCATATAAAATTACTTAATATCAAATGCATTTTGAAAATATTAGCATTCAGTAACATATTTTTAGGAATATGAGAGACTTTCAGAAAGTGTGTATAAAAATAAAGTAGTATAAATTGTGTTGAAACTGTGTTCTGATTTAATTTGCTAGAACAAGTGTTAATGTCAAATTTTAAGAAGGGAAAAAGAACAACTTAAAAAAGATACTAAATACAACACACATCATGTAAGTCATTTAAGGATGTTATAGATTAATATATTATCTACGTAGTACAGAAATGTCTTCAACATATAAAGTATAACAAAAGTCTTTAACAAATTACAGAAAAATCTTTTAACAGATAAAGTATTTCAAATAAAATCTCAACTAAATCTAATATTAAGTATTAAAATATCCATCAAATTCTTTTTTACAGAATTAAAGTATTTGGATCAATTTCAGATTAAAGATATCAAAAATTAATATCTTGATTTATATTTTACAATGTCATCATGTAATATAAAATTGGAAACAAAATTGAAAGTGACTAAATGTGTATCTTGCATGTGTAGTAACATAAAACAAGTGCAAAAGACATTTCAATTTTATAAACTAAAATAAATCATTATGATTCAAAAATGATTACTGAATATTATACATTCTACAATCAACGTTTAATTTTTATTAACTTTTATTGATAATGGTAAAATATTTATTATGATTTTCAGAAATACTTTATAAATCATTTTGCAAATATGGTTCAGAAGTCATAGTTTTCATTACATACTTAATTGTATACTTGTTTTTTCATTTACATAATTTATGCCTAGCCTTTACTGGCATGTTCATCAAGAAATTAATCGAAACATTTAAAAAAAAAAAAGGTCATTTTTATATGATGAATCATAAAATATTTCACGATTGTTATTTTCATGTGGTAATATGTCATTAAAACATATAGGATTTTGCATAGAGGAGTGATAAAAGTCGGCTCTCAGAATATTTATTAAAAAGCCGTGTTCAGTATATTATAAATACATTTAAATCTGATCTAAAATTTAAAAAACCATCATTTATAACTTAAAGTAAATAAGTGATTGTTTTTTCAAAATAACCACAGTATTCATATCAATACTCCTTAATGATTTTGATAACACATTCACAATTTATATACTAAAGTAGTTAGGGCAATACATTTAAAAAATAAGTATTTCATTATATTTCCCAAAATAAGGATATTAAGAAGTATTTTGTAAATCAGGTGACAAATATCATTCAGAAACCATATTTTTCAGTATATTCGTAAATTTTTCATTATTTGTTTAGTTTATAGCCAACCTTTATTTGCATGTTTATCAAGATATTGGTTGAAACATTTTAAAAACAGTCATTTTTATAGGATTAATCACAAAATATTTCACAAGAATAAATTAGTCATTTTCACATGTAAGATTTTGCATAAAATAATGATAAAAATATCAGCTATCAGAATATTACTAAGCTGTTTTCAAAATATTATAAATGAACACATTTAATAAACAAATAATGTAAATGAGTAATTGATTTGTCAAAATAACTATGCTGCTTGATTATTTTGACATTTAAACATGCATAGTATATGCACTAAAAAAGTGCTTAGGACAATACATTATTAAAAAATCAATATTCCAGTACATTTCTCCATTAATTTTTTGATAATTTTTTTTAACTCGCATTCTGTCATTACTGACCATCTGAGAAGACTCTTTAGCGAAATTATTTTTACATATAATCCACTCGAATTTTCTTTGATATTTCCACCGGTATTCTTGTGTGCACAATCTTCAAGAATTCTATTTCCAATTTCCTGTAAAAGAAATTTGTATTTAAATGGTTGTATGATTTAATAATGAATGTCTAAAAATATGAGGTTAAAATATATAGGGTATAAAGCTAAGTTACATTTGATTACTGTAGATCAAGAAATTTTGAGTGGTATACTACAATACAATACGACAATGATACATCGTTATTATCTTTTAGCATTATCACCCAGGCTCTATAAACACTAATCTGAATGTTCCACTAATCCTTAGAAGATTTCTGGATTCAGAAGCAGTTATCTGTCTAATAAACATTTTAAAATGAATTAAAATAAGCCATGGCCTGCAAATTAGGAAATAAACTAAATATAACTTTTTATTTAATTCTTAAATGCTATTTTTTTATTTGAAATTTCATTGATCTGTTGTTTTATGAACTTGCAAATGAGCCACTATTTTGAAACACTTTTTTTTTTTCCCTTGACGCCTAATTTTGTAATGTTGTTAAGAGATACCTTATTCTGAAAAGAACCCAATGTAGATAGCGGGCATTTCGAGACAGTGATTACATTCCATAATTTTGTCACAGAAAATGTCAAAAATTTAAAAAAAAGGCTCCATTCCCAATTCTCGAGAAATTTTTGTTTTTATCATTTTTGAAATATACATGATTTTTCTAAATTCAGGAAATTAAAAAAAATTATTATTACTTTTAGTTTGAAATGCGAAGTAGGCTTTCGGTGGTTGTTAGCGACATTTAGACATTATTGACAAAAGGATTTTTTCTGTTTTAGTTTGGAACCAGCTACCGTATTTTATTGATTATTGCCGAATACATATTTCACCCAAAGTCGTTGCTGTTGCAGCTGAAGATTAACAAAAACTGCAATTCGAGACTTTAGGGATACTTATGTATAGAACAAGCACCTTAGCCAGAAGTCGCAAAATTTTTAGAATATGCCAAACTCTAACAGCCCCCCCCCCCCCCCACGCACATAACTATTATTGAGGCTCCTTCATCCTTGTTAAAGCAGCCGCCACAATTTCGGGGAAATTTGACCACATTTAAAATTAATTAGGCAAAAACTAGAAAATATTATGGTAAACTTTAAAAATTGAAAAACGCAACGTGTAAAAAGAAAATAACATTTATTTATCTTTGAGGATGCGGTAATCCGGCAATTGTGTAAGGAAGCTGCAAGCATTTTTTGCTGAAGGACACCTGCGCGTTCCTCTTTCTTGCAGCTTTGTCTACTTTTTTATTTAACCCTACGCCTTTGTGACTCGGAATCCAGAAGACAGTGAGATGGCTGGAAGCTTCTTTCCGCTTATAAAGCTCTAGAATAAGAGAGAACCAGAAGACAGTAAGATGGCGGAAAGATTTCATGCGTTGGAAAACATTACACTCTCGCTTCGTATATTTTTCAGCTATAAAATTTAATCTCTGCTGCATCTCCTAGTATGGAATGTTTTTACTTCGGGACTCGTATTCAATCATTTTTGTACTGAAGTTCCAGTCTTCCGACAAATCCTGCTCATCGGTGAAAATGACAAATAGTCAGAACCAGTATCAAATTTGATGAGCTTGCCCTTGGCATATGGAGTGTAAGGAGCTTGTTTAAACCGCCCCATTTATAACTAATTCTGTTCACAACTTTTCAAGCTGGCAGCTATAGGAGAAGAGTCTAAGACAGCAGTATTCTTAATCAAGGAATTTGTCGCTGCTATGCGCATACTTGTTTGAGTAGGAAAACTGTTTCTACGTAAACAGTAGGAAAAGAGTGCTTATCGGAACTCCAGTTGCTAGTCTTAAGAATTGACTTAAAACTAGCAACTGGAGTTCCGATTTAAGAATTGACTGTAGTCTGTTTCTAATTTTTTTAATCCTTTTGTAAAGTGGATATAAAAATTTAACTGCCGTATTCAGTCCTTTCTCTTACAGTAGCATTCGCAATTTTGACAAGGTCGCGAGCCCCACTTAGAGATTATCATGAACTTAAACGCGTTTAACATTCCTTCTAACTTTAGATAACTTTATTTACATGAGCATTCCATCTCAGCTTGCTGTCGAACCGCAATCCAAAAATTTTAACTTGTTCTTTACTGAAATGGTGATGCTGTTTAATAAAACCACTCGTTTCTTTGCTTTTCTTCCATCCGAAAATAATGTTTTTTCGAGAATATGCATAAATTCCACTCATTAACCCAGATTTGCACTTTTGTCAAGCACCGCTGTAATTTGCTAAGCACCTTGAAGCAGTGCTTAAATTGCGCCGGAGCCCGGCTCCGGTGCTTCTCAATTTTTAAGATAAATTACAATTTTAGCCGGAGCGCACCGGAGCCCTAAATAAGATGAGCTCCGGTACTTCTTTTTATAAAATTGAACCACAATTTAAAGGGAAAAAAATTTAGCATTCCTAACGTCTTAGTTTAACAATAAGCAGACCTTGCGATACTCTTTTTCCCTAGAAATACGAACTTATGAGATGTTCAAGTAAAGTTCCCTCACTCACATGCGGAAACCTTTCTCTTTAAGAAAAGCAATAATTTTGGGGGAGTTTGTTTAGGAACGCGTAAATTTCTCGCCATGCCTTCGAATCTAGTACATTGTTATCGATGCTTACAGTTAGCTATCCTCGCAGGAAGGAAAATTTCTGTTCTCAAATGTACGTTAAGTGACAGCGAGTACAATAAGATTGAAAATACTGAGATAAACTGCTCCAGCACGTTCTATACATTGTCTTCCCACAGTATCCACTAATGGGGAGGAAAGCGTAATCAGCAACTTTACATTTATCTTTAGGAGTCAGATTCAAAAATCATTTTAGCCCTGACACACATCTGCTTGATGGCTACAATTATATCAGCAGAGAGCCGCGGTCAAAAAGAACGTTCTCTCTCACCGATATTCCCTTCATTTTTTGTTTCCATTCACTCATACCCTCATTCTGTTTCGCCCTGGAACTTTTATCAGCTATACTTTAAATTTATTTAATTTTTGTGATGATAACCCTCCCCGTTTGGATCAGAGCTTAAACTGGGGCGGAACCCATCTTAGTTTTTGTAATAAATCATAATTCTAGCCTTAATGCACCGAGCCCTGAATAAGAAGGCTGCGGCACTTCTTTTATGTAATTGAATAACAATTTCGGTAGAAATTTTATCTCGAAAATTTTAATTTAACAATAAAATTATAAAATCGCGTTATATTATAATTATAAAAATTATAATTAGAAATTATTATAAATAAAATTTTATTAAATTCATATTTATAAAAAATAGCCTATTAAATTTCCATTTATCTCTTACATTTTATTTAATTTTAATTATCAATTACTTCAATCTTTAATTATTTCAATAAATAATAATTAATTATCTAATAATTATCAATAAAATTGTAATTAATTAATTATATAACAATTACTGATTAAATAACAATTTATAAAAAATTAATTAAATAGCTATTAATTAATTTGATAATAATTAAAAATTTAATTTAAAATTATTAATGAGTTTAATAGTCATTTTATTTATTTATTTACTCTTGTTCTTCTTTGCTGACGGTCTTCCATAGGGCTCCGGCACTCCTAATCTTAGAAATTAAGCCCTGCCTTGGAGTATGTGTTGTCTGTACAGTAAAAAATATCATCTCGATAAAATAATTAACGATTTTTCCGCCTTTTGTTTCTATAACTTTGGCCATAATTTTTGTCAAGGAGATTGGTCTGTATGCTGACATCACAGAGCTGTTTCCTTCGAGTGTCAGAAAGTGAATCACAACCGTCTCTTTCCATTGCTCTGGGACCTACCCCGAAACCCATGAGTTGTTGCATGTTTCCAGTAACATTTGCTTGCTATCAACAGCTACCTTTCTCATAGCAGTTCCTGTGAACCTATCTTATCCTGGCGCTGAATTGTTTTGGTTTATAATAGCTTTATCAAGTTCGATAATGCTGCGAAAGGTCGATAATACTGCTCTATCTTCTCTCAGATTGAAGGGCAGGAACTTCTATTGATTGTTTTGGCATAATACCTAGCAAATAATACCTAGCACTGCCAAACGTGGTCCCCAGGCTGCCCTAATATGTTGTGCAGAATCTGATGCTCTTTGTTCTCTTTACAAAGGCTTTTTATTATTTTATGAATATTACCATCCTTAGAAACCTTCGCACAAATGCCTTCGTAATGCTGTCTTTTTTAATCTTCATGGTCCTTTTTACAAAGCATTCCACTTCTTATAAGAGATCCAAAATTTCCTTAAAAGATGAATTTCGGTAAGCTGAGATGTTTTCTCTTCTGTCCTAAAATGATGTTAAATTCGACCTCCTTCCATGAACAGTTTCAGTGCTGTTTCACAACTCCTAGTCTGGCATTTTTTCCCCCCAGTTTGATCCAGATATTATCGATATTCTCCAAATTTCTTTCATCTAGGGACAATATGTTAATCTTATTGTTGCTATCCAGATTAATTTTATACTTGAATAAATTTATGTAATTTCAGCGTTAGAATTTTTGAAAAATACACTTCGACTGTTTAAACTAAATTTTGCTGGACTTCTGTAATTCAAGAAAAGTTGTTTCCTGTACTCCGGTGGAACGGCGTTCGACACCAGGGTGCCTGGATTCGAGACCCTACCCCTAATCGAATAAATTCTAAATTAACTTAAATGAATGATCTAATTATTATTATTAAGATTATTATTTTAAACAATTATATTTTGGGTTATAAAAGAAATGACTATATATTTAAAGAATCTACAGAAAGCCGTCTAGCACGTGGAAAGCCGCAAAAGCTAGTGTGTAACAGATAATACATAAATAAGTACCAATCACCTTAATGCCAATAAAGAGATTACAAAAAAAAAAAAAAAAAAAAAAAAAAAAGAGAGAGAGAGAAGAAGAAGAAAAAGAAGATTTTAAATTACGTCCAAAGGGGCGTTTTCTTTTACATTTTGTGTGTTACCTTTTTTTATTAAATATCATGTTCTTTGCACTTAAACCATAAAATTTAGTTCAATGCTAATGTCGCAAAATAATTTTAAAATGAGCATATCTTTAGAATTTCCGATACATAGTTCGACGCGCTGGAGATAAAAAGGTTTTTTCCTCCGTAGGGTGCTGCTATTGCTCGCTTTTAAATCGTTGAATTTGTTACTCAAAAATTCGTTAAAGTTTTACAAAATATGAAATCGATAATAAAACAAATTCCAAATTTGGGATTTCAGATGCCCATATGCGCAGTAGGATTACGTCATTCAAAATTGGATGACTCTAGATACCGTTGTTTTATCACAATGCGAGAAATATACATACATTTACGCAGATTTTTCATCATTTAATTTCTTTAAATATAATGCAGGACTCTAACATTTTGTGGCAGCTGTTTGAAAAGTGAACCGACATTTATAGGTGATTATTATCTTTACAATAATTAAAAACTGGCGGTATAACACTATCAGTTTATTGATATTGCTTTGCGTTTGCCAATTTGTTCTTGCTTTTCGTGAAGTTCCTTTTCACTGATTTGGAAATGTGAAGCTTTGTGTACAAGAAGGTAAGATTTTTGTACTTTTCATGTAATTTTTCAATGTGAACGAAATGTGTGTAGTTTGCTGACTATTCATTGTATTTACCTTTCCTCCCCCCATGCTAGTGGTCCGCCAAATATGAAATTATATATGTAGTGGTCCGTGAAGTTCTAAGGGTTGACGACTGCTGGTATAAACCGTAAAAAACGCCATCCGTTAAATGATAATCGTGATCTGAAGTAACGATGCTGAATATGTCTCCAGAATATAACCCTGCTACTTCCCTGAAATCCCCCCCCGAAAAAAAAAACGTCTAAATGTCAGCAATTCGGATCGAATTCAAATCCTGACAAATGAGCCAATTGGCCAGTCCTAGTATGTTTTGCTGTAATCCAATAAATCTTTAAGTTACCTTACGTACCAGAATAATATTTGCAAGAAGAGGGGTCTATAAAATGAAAATAGAACAAGGATTTGTGATTACTTACCTTTTTACCCAAATTGTAAGAATTTCGTTGAGTGAAATCGCACAGTTGTAGAAATAAAGAGGCACGTTATTCTGAAAGTAAAACAAATCCAGTTACATCTTCGGAGTGTGGTGCAATCTTCCACTAACATCAAACACATTAAATATTTTACAATACTTATAATAAATGTGTATTTCATTAATTGTTTTGCTTTCTAAAATGTAGTAAAATTAGCAAAGAGGTATACTGAAATACATTTACACTACTATCAATAATTTTTGTTATTGAATCAGAATACAATTTATGAAAAGAGACGTTGAAGAGAAATTATCAGGCTAGATACATGCTATTAGTTATTAGGTAAAATATAAGCTTATAAATAATTATAATAACAACACAGAGAACTCTCGATTTTTCAGTCTTCTACAGAAAGCTAAGGAAATTCGCAAAATCAAAAGTTTGGTAAATGGGAGTGCCATTAAACAAATGTAATTTGAGCTCATTTTACTTTATTAGATATTAAAAAAAAAACTAATTTTCGTTATTTCTTAACTACGGTTAAATAAAATTCTATAAAATTCCCACCAAAATAATAATGCAATAAAATGACTTTAAATAATTACACAGTTTATCTCTCTTAGCGGGACAAGTACACCGACATGTCTATTTTTCCCTCGTTCCTAGAAAGCAAATCGTTCTCAGAAAAGCAAATTTTCTATGTTTTATTTCATAAAGCTAAAAAATGGAAATCTACCAAACGAAGAGTGAACAACATACACTTCACAAGTTTTTTTGCGGAGTTGAAAAATGCCGAAGTCTAGATGATTTTATTGCAACTGAGAATAAAAGGGGCGTTAAAAAGAAATTATATGGCTTTATTTCACAAGGGCGAATTAAGGAAGCGTTAAAAAAAATTTACATATACAGCTCTGAATCTATATACTATATCTTTTGAAGTAAGAAGAAAGGAAATCTGAACGAATGGATTACATTGGAACAATGAATGCAACGATTGGATCGTTACATTATTAGCTACTAGTATAGACCATAGAGTAGAAATATAAGGAAGAATTAGTTTCACTCAGTTTTATTATTTTTTTCTGTTTGATTAAAATACTCCAGTCGTGTGCTCAATAATTAATTATAATATAATTTTGCTAAAGTGGGCAATTGATTTTTCTTCCGCTTCAAGAGTTTGAAACTAAAGTGAAAACATGCGGCCATCGAAAGACAAGAGGGGATACTTTTAATTTAGAAATATTATCAGAAAGATTTCACACTGCGCAAAAAGACTGCAAAAAGAAATTTTCAGAAAATAATTCGTTTTTAGAAACGTTTCTATGATTTCATTCACAAAAAGCTGGCTGCACAATACTTGATGTCTTTACTGAGGCAAAAGGATGACTGCTTTCAGCACAGAATTTAACATAATCTGTAGAGATGCTTGAAGAAAAAGCCGTCATTGTACATGCAAAAATTGCTATAACAAATGAGATCTTAAACTTATTTGTCTATTCTCGCAATACATTACGCAATTTTGGAAAACGATTACGAAAAATGGTTGAATTCAAGGACTTTCATACTAAACTATAAATATTGTTACGAAATGTACAAGCGCGGTGAGATGGCTTCCCCGCAAAGCAGTTTTAGGGTTGCTATAAAATAGCAAGGAGGGCAGGGTGGCCACATTTGGCGAGAAATCGACCATTTGGCGATAAAATTTGCGATATACCATGGACGGTTGGAGAACCTTCTGGAACGAATTCTTACCGCTTTACCCCAAAATGTTCCCGAACACAAGCCGAAAGCTATATAAACCCTGCTGGTCCGCAGTCAGTTAGTGAGTAGTCTTGAGTGTGCGTCTCTCGTCGAGTGAGTGTGTCTCGTCTAGCGAGTCAATCCCTGCGGAAGCGATCGTGTTGACAGCCGGGCATCCAGTGCCGAGTGGGTCGTCGAATGCACCGAAAGAGTCTCGTAGAGCATCGCGGTTAATGCATCGTCGAGAGAGCGTGTTGAGCTCCGGAAACGACTGAACCGAGAGTCAGGAGCTGTGCTCTCTGTGTCATCGAGTGCATCGCGAGTTGTAGCGTGTAGAGTCTCGAGAGTACGTGGAGTTCCGAGAACGACCAAGCAGAGTCGGAAGCTGTACTCCGGAAAGCAGAGTCGTGTGCTTTGCAGGAAGCTGTCTCCACCGTTATTGCCTGACATTGTGAAGGCTGTGTCGCTGATTGTTCCAGCGTGTTTATAGTAGTTCATAGACGACAGCAAAACGTGTTTTGGAGCTGTCCTGACAATACTGACTAATAAAGTGTGTTTCAATACTTCATCAAGTGTCGTCGTTATTCACTCCAAGTCTACAAACTCCGTACGACCGTGAAGGAACAAAATAACGCAACAACTGGTGTCAGAAGACGAATAGAAAAACGTAACAATATGTAAATGCCTTCTGCCAGTTGCTTTCTGTACATCTTTTCATTGAGATTTTTAAGAATTGTTCTAATTTAATTAAAAACAAATTGTTCTAATTTAATTAAAAACAAAGTCACGAAGTGAAAGTTTTAAAGTTATTGACTATACTAAGATCTTTTTCATAAACTTAAAACAATGCCCCCATAACACAAGACATCCTCAGGATATCCTATTTAAGTCGCAATGTCCCGGGAAGCAGTTAGGATATCCTAAGGATGTTGATTCTCACATATCCTGAGGACTTCTTAAGTCAACATCCTGAGGATATACCTATTCAAAGTCTCAATATCTCGGGATACATGAAGATCTCCTCAGGATGTTGATTTTCAGATATCCTGAGGATTCGTAAATCAACATCTTAAGGATGTCCTATTCAAGTCGTAATGTCTCGGGATATATGAAGATCTCCTGAGGATGTTGTTTCTCAGCTATCTTCGGTACTTACTTTTATGGAAGCTCATATCTGAAAATATTAAAGTACCCTTGTACCACACGCAAGTCATGTTATAGAACCGAATCTTACTCTATGGATTACCTATTCTGCATATGGAAATTTAATTGTTATGCTTACACTGGTTTTTCGTATATGTTGGCTGTAAGTATTAAGTAATAATATTTTCAAAATTTTTGTTGTTGTTTCACAGTGCCTATTGATCAGAGTAGTACTTTCTTACAAATTATAGGCACGTGTTTTCATCCGTTTTGAGTTTTATATTGAAAGTGTGTTTACGATTAAAATTCTAATTGCTACATATATATTTTGTAAACATTATTTTAGATACTTTTCTAATATCTTTGAACACAAATATTATTTACGTTACAGGTTAACTCAGAAAATCTTTTACGAAGACATTTATCCTATGAACAGTTGGGCATGATGTGCATCCATGCCTTATATGACATTCGAACTTGAGCCCTTCTGTACGGCAATCAGTCACTATAATCACTTACCCGTTTTTGCATCTAATGGTTCTGTGAGACTAAAGGTGCATCCAAGAGATAATAAGAGGTTTTGTTAACAATAACAACATTTATTTACAAGAAAATATACGAAAATTTCAATCAATTAGAGATATATTATTAGGCATCTCTGCCTTCCACGTCTTACACCTTTAGTATCCTGCCTGCCACTGACTATTAGGACGAACGCAGCGCCCTCTAGTCAGAATGACGCTGGAAATACGTAATACTCCCCACCTGAACTCACTTGAGTTCACTTACCATTGAATTTCAACTAAATTTACATTCAGGAACCATTTAAAAATTACAAGAATAAAAATATAAATAGCATATTATATCAAATACAAAGCTTCAAAATTATTCAGTGACTTAACATACAAAAATCAATTACACTTTTAACTTCCAAAGAAAATTGTTCAAATATCAAGCCTTAAAATATAAGCACAATTAAAAACTATCATTAATACACAGATAGAACATTAACAGGTTGCAACTCAATTAAACTAACACAATTAAGGATTAATTTCCAAATTATACACAAGTTGTACTGAGCGTCTTATTTGTCCTTTAGGAGTCTGAATAAGAAGAGAGAACGAACTTTCCATCTCTTCCTGGATATAGCTCTAAAATTTTTCCCATCATCCACATATTTCTGGGATAACGCTCATCATTAATCAATATTATTCACTTTAAATGAAACTATTTTACCTGGTTGTGGAGAAATATAAGCTGATCTTAGATTAAGTAAATATTCCTTTCTCCACCTGTTCCAGAAGTGATTCAAAAGTGTTTGCTGATATTTATATTTCTTTACCAAAGAATTCCTATTAACATTTAAATTTTCATTTTTATGTTTTATTACAGGTAAAGACACCAATCTTTTACCAATAAGAAAATGAGATGGGGTGAGTGGAGAGGGTTCTGAGGGTTCGTTGTACAGATACGTGATAGGCCTGGAATTAACCACGGATTCAATTTCCGAAAAAAACAGTTTCCAATTCCTTCAAAGATAGAGAGGATCGTCCAACAATTTTCTTTAAGCAGGTTTTAACCGTCCGTATCTGTCTCTCCCAGAAACCTCCCCACCATGGACTTTTTTCAACTATAAAATTCCAAACTATACCTTTAGAAGCAAACAAATTTTTAACTTGATCATTATCTATCTGATTCCACCATTTTTTCAATTCACTATTTGCTTTTTTAAAAGCTTTGGCATTATCAGAATATATAGTGGAACATAATCCTCGACGAGAAACAAATCGTTGGAATCCTAACAAAAAGGAATCAGCACTTATGTTAAGAACTACTTCTAAGTGGATAGCTCTTGTCACTGCACAGCTGAATATAAGTAAATAACACTTTGAATTAAAATCACGAACAAAAAATGGTCCGGCAAAATCCACACCGCATACATCAAATGGTGGATGCTCTTGAATTCTATCAGGCGGTAAAAGGGCAATCACCTGCATTCCAGATTACACTCTGAATCGTCTACAAATCAGACAGTTATTTAACACTTTTTTCACAAATTGACGACCTTTAACAATCCAGAATTGTTCTCGTAAATGTGTTAAAGTTGCATCAACACCTAAATGGCACATTTTAGTATGAGAATCACAGATAAGTAGTTCAACAAATTTATCATTAGATGGAAGAAGCCAAG